CAAAAACACACAAAACCCAAAACAACTGCAAGAAGAAATGCACAATTTCACTCCAAAAACGGAAGTGCCCGCACTTAGGGGACCGACCTAGGGATGGCAGTCCTGTGGGACGACCGAAAAGACATGAAGAAGAAGAAGTTGGCAACATATAGAAAGGCAGCATGGTTACGTGCTAATGTTACGTGCTAGAAACTTGTTTATAAGAGCTGTGACTTGTGAACAATGTTAGACGATAGAGGAGGGAGGGCGGTTGGGAGAGAGGTTAAAATGAGACAGAAACAGAAAAACAAATCAAACACCCCATATAATTTACTGAAAGGTGGAATATTAAAAAAGGTCTTATTTAAAATGTTCAGGAAATTTTTTTGTGTGTTTTTGGTATTTTGAAATTTTCTTTTTGCCAAATTTGGTTAGTGGGTTGTAATTTTTGCTTCCTGGCATTGTTTCTGTGGAAAATGCAAAAAAGCAATTCTGCGTTTTTCTGTTGCATTTGTTTTTATGTGTTTGTGTGTTTTTGGTTTTGCATCATTCCTGTGTTTGCAGCGTTTTGCCGTTTGCGGTGCGTTTGCCCGTGTCGGCCACCATATTGACCTTTTGGATAAAACATGGCATTGCTTCATCATTCTTAATTTTTCCCATTTAACTGTGTAACAACTTTGTGCAATTCATAATACATATACTTACACACATATACAATGCCATCATGACTTTTTTTAAAAAAATAAAACATACACATATATTCAGTCCTGCAGTCATGGAGGGTGTTGTTAGAGCTGAAGGCACACATCTCCATATGCATCTTGCCTATTTCTACACACATCAACAAATAAACTAACACTGCCAAAATTATAATAAATGCATAACTGAGTTTAAAAACTAAATAAGTAAGCACTACAAAACAGGTTAAGGAGCAATATTATCTAAAATATAAAATACACAAATAATTACAATATCATTTAAAAAAAAGCCAAGATGTTCATTGAGGGGCAGAGCTTGAGGTTAGAAGAGGCCAGCGTTGTTTAACCCTGAGGACAACTCTGATGATCCCACACTACTTCACAATGTCATTAAACTACATCTTTTGTTATTATTTTAATGTGAGACATCCTCTAGCAGCAAAAATAACATACTCTACATTTAAAGCCATTTTTATACAACATCACTAAGTCACCCCCAATGCCCATTATTATGGATTAATTTAAGAAAACCTAGTGGGGTCCATTCAACAAGAGGAGCAACCACCAAGTCTTTGTCAATAAGAAGCAATTAGATCAAGATTTGTTAGCTAGTGACCTGACATTGAGCAAAGCAAAGCTAATGTGCTACAATTGATACAACAACAAGTGACAGTTGGGCTGCAGTGAACAAGCTAAAACAAATCTATGAGTGTGTGGTCTGTCATTGAGAACTACTAGAATGCCAGATACAGGGACAGGATTAGTGGGTTGATCATTAATGTGATTAGTTTCTTTTCCAGTAGTATTTATGCCCTTTCTATTTGAGTTAGATGTTATTATTTTTGAAAATATGTCTCCTTGCCCAAAAACAATCAAAATTACAGATGACGCTGTAACCAGTGGCAAGGCAAACATTCTGCAGTGTAAAGACAACTTAACCATTCACTGCCTTTCTCCAGTGTGGGGAAATACACAGTTTATCCAGTTTTTCTGTTGTCTCTGCAAGTAGCTTAAAGTTATGTTGAAGCTTTATAGATTGTATGAGCTTAATGTTATTTGTGACTATATGCACAACAGTGTGCACAGTGGGATGAACGTCGAGGACAGGAGGAATGTTTTCAATAACATCCAAAGTCTTGGGACTAAAAAAAGAAGTGTCTTAAATGTATGGCATAAGATGACTAAATATTTGGTTATCAGAGCTGTGGTTCTTACCTAAGCTGGTAGTGACGTCCATTATAGTAGTTCGTTTCCTCCTACTGGTGGCCGGACATTTCAATTCTGAAAAAAGTAACAGGGTGTGAGAAAAATGCATCTACATTTACCCTTCTTGTTTAAACAAAATATTTTACAAAGGCATATTGTATAAAATACTGATGGTGTGATGTTTTAACACCCCTAATAAAACAGATCACCATGGAATCACCATGGTTGACTGCTGAAGCCAACATGGAAATGCATGAAAAGGTCTGTTTAACCAAATTATAAAAACATTTTTTATCTGACTTACCCCTAGTGGTATTTTGCAGATGCAAGACTGATAGAATAAATCTAAGTTGCTTAATTTTCAGTGCTTATACCATGGTCTGGGTGAATATTCGATTCTGACTGGCCTCTGGGTGTCCATTAATACCTGATGTAAGACACCTACTAAGTAGTTCCAGTGAAACTCTCTGTTTATCGTTCTAAATTAATAACAAAATCTAGCATAATATCTCATATCTCAATATATCTCACTACACTGAGTGTAGTCCTTCAGTGCCTCATCCTCTGAACACCACAGGACGGCCCCTTATTAACTTAATGATACTTTGCATAAATGATCCTCCGACATCCCGTCTGCTATTCAACTCACTACTTCAGGCTGCGGACATCAATACACATATTCTATTGTTGGTGAAAATCTTGTTATTGATTTGGGGACACTGACATGACTGATAGCTAGTTAGTCTTGTTGTTAAACATAGTCAACATATTAAACATAATGTCAGGTCTCTGACAAAAATAAATCCAGCGCTCTAAGAGCGGAGGGAACTACACATATCTCCCATTTCCAATTCGTGTATATCAGCAGTCCCCAACCACCGGCCGCGGGCCGGTACCGGTCCGTGGGTCATTTGGTACCGGGCCGCACAGAAAAATAAATAAATAAAGATTTTAATGATGATCAGACTATGAAAGATGTTTTATTTTGAAAAATGACAGGATTCTCTCCGAATAACATCCGTCTGTGCGTCTGTGCCTCTTGACACAGGTTAAGACAAGTCATATATGTTACCCCAGTTAAGCCCTCAAGCTAGCAAAAATGAGTAAAAAACAAACGTCTGAGATGTCCTGAGATCGCCACAAAAGCACTGAAACCCCTGCTTCCCTTTCCAACATCCTATCTTTGTGAAGCAGGGTTTTCTGCAGTGACAGCGACCAAAACAAAATTACAGAATAGACTGGACATAAGGAACACACTTCGGGTGTCATTGTCTCCCGTTACCCCAAGATGGGACCGGCTCGCAAGCTCAGGGCTCGCACTAACTCAGCGTAATGGTGAGTTGTATTTTAATACACTTTATATTTGTTTTTTTTATGCCGGTCGTATTATTTTATTTCGTCGTATTTATCGCCCACACCTTGAAGGCCGGTCCGTGAAAATATTGCCTTACATGAAACAGGTCCATGGCACAAAAAAGGTTGGGGACCGCTGGTGATTTTCCTTGCAGAATGCATGCAAATATAAAATAATTATCTTTATTTCTTTTCTTTGGCAAGTGACTGTGGTATAAGCAGGATAATGCCCTTTGAGGTGTCCATTATCAGGAATTATTGGACGACTTTGATATATTGAGTATACAAACCTTATATGCCAGAAGTTCTCAGACATTTTACTCAAGAGTTCAGGTATGAATTTTATTTAAGATCAGAGATCTGGAACAATCAATCAACTCACTTAACTTGTAAATTTTACTGGGATCTTCACCTCTTTGGCGATGGAATGTTTTGTGCCTACTAGTAGGCTACTTTTTGTTGCAGTTAATTAACGTTTCATCTTTTGTGATTGGGCCAGCATGAAAACGAGGCAAACACAGCCCAGACGAAGATATCAATGAGGGAAATAAGCCACATTAAAACCCACATTCATATAGGGACAGGATTACTGTGAATAATCTCCAGTGTAGGACCTTGTCCTCGTCTTCCTCTACAAGAGACGCTTTATCCATCTCTATCCATCTCCATCTCTCTTAATGCAACAATCATCTTAATGTTTAATTATGCTCCACCAGGAGAGTCCAGATAACGATTCCTCGATTTCCCCGCATAAAATCAAATACACAGACAAGCACCTATGGTGAGATATATTTATT